TACCTAGAAAATTATCTATCATAAGTTATATAATATATAAAATTACGTAAAATAAAAATATATAAAAATCATTTTAAAAATATATATATAAAAAAATATTAATCAAAAAAATATTTTTAAAAAAATTATTAAAAAAAATATATTAAAAAATATCAATCAAAAAAATATATTTAAAAAATTTATTAAAAAAATCATATAACACAAAAAATAAAAAAAATTAGCGATCAAAAGAAATATCAAATATAAATTTTAAAAAATATATATATTTAAAAAAAATATCAATCAAAAAAATATATGTAAAAAAATTTATTAAAAAAAATCATATAACCCAAAAATAAAAAATATAAAAAAAAATATCAATCAAAAATATATATTTAAAAAAATTTATTAAATAAACATATAACACAAAAAATAAAAAAAATTAGCGATCAAAAGATATATTAAGAAAAATATATATACATTAAAAAATATATATATATTAAAAAAAATTTTGGTACAAAATCTATTTATTACAGTAAACTTTTTATATAAATTATATTATAAACAATTAAATTAATTAAGGTAATATAAAAATATAAAGAATGTATTAATTTAAAAAAAATATTAAAAAAAAACATTTAAAAAAAAATAAATAAATATAGTATTGGAGGATATGTTTGTGACGGTGTTAAAAAAGAAAAAAAAATTATTGAGGTTAGGAAGGATAATCTTGTGGGAAGAGACTGCCTATGAAGCTAATATAATTGGCCTTGTGTATTGCGATGGCGAGTTTTTGTCTTAAGAAGAAGCCCTCGCGGGGTTCACCGGTTAGTTGACGAATGTGGCCGAGTTCCTTGAAAAAGGATAAGGCATATTTCCCAAAAGTAGTTAGGGTAGTGGAAATAATGGGGATGAAAATATATTCTTGAGAGATTTCGGAATATTTTGCTATTTTGAGTGTCTCCTTTTTCTCGAGTATATTGACTGTTTGATCTGATGGAGCAAGTGGATCAATGCAAGAGTAGTCCCAGACCAGGAATTGACCGCGCTTCCAAGGAATTTGCGAAATACCGTCAGGCCGTTTCCTTTCAGATTTGAAAAGACCGGATGGTTCAAGAGTGGAGGGGATCAGATCTAAGAGCTCTAAGAATGATCGAATTGCATAGATTATGTCTTACACCTTTACATGAGCGACAATGAAGACCATGTCTTCCATTGCCCAAAACTGCGGAGCGCAACCTGAACATATGTGGGGTTGGGTAATAAGGCAATTTAATCGGATACCGATTGCGTGTGTGAGCTCGTTTTTATTTAGTTGTAATTGCAGATTAATAGACGGAATGGCCTCGAGAAACTCATGGCCTGAACCATTAAGCAAAGAAGAGAATAAGGGACGGTCAGATAATTGCATTCTGGAAAGGTGTGATTCAACGCAGAGTGCAATAATAGGCCTATCCCAGTCCTTCTGCTTATTAGATTCAGGAAGAGGGTGATCCGCAGAAATTCGTGTCCTCCATTCGATGATTGCATCATTAAAAGAAGAGTCGGGTTTTAAAGAATTGGGATTTATTATGTTTTTAGTTAGTAGGCAACTGGATATAAAGGCCGTTAAGGCGAGATCGGATGGAGATCTGAGGCCCAGACCTCCCATCTTTGTGGGTAAAGAAGCTTGTGTCCAAGCAATTTCATTGAATTTAAGATTTAGAATGTTTTCAATTTTTAATTCCATTATCATAAACTCCAAGTGGAATGGGGAATTTAAATATGGCGGTTGAGCGAAGTGCGTAAAGAATACGGGGAATATTGAAAAAATTTTTCACCAGGAAAAAGGCTTTATGAGAAGGAAGAAGGGAAAATAAATCTGCCAGCTCTAATAAAGTATCCAAAGTGGACTGAAGAAAGAAAGAAATAGCAGAGTTACCACCAACAGGGGCTACCAGATGATAGAAGCCTTCAAGAGTCGTTAGTTTGAATTTGTTAGTATTAGGTTCGATTGTACTGATAGGGATAAATTCTGATTTCTCTGGATTAATGGAGAGTCCTATAACTGATCCGGCCTCCTTGATGATGTTCACGGCTTTATTGACTTCAACATTGGATCCTCCAAGGATACCATCATCAATGTACCAGGAATGCAAGGATAATGAGCAGACAGAATTAATGGATTTAATGATGTCATTAATACCTAAACAAAAGAATAGGGAACCTAGGGGGTCTCCCTGCTGAATGCCCTCGACGGAAGGGATTTTAAAGGTATCAAACAGAAGAGTGGAGGGCTGTTGATAACGTGAGTAAAAAAACTTAGTGTAACTGGGAAAATGATTACTTGAGGAACTCAAAAAGGAGTTCCGGGAGAGTGTGTTGTAAGCATTAGAGAAATCAATTTTTATCAAGGATTCATTAGAAGGTAAATTTTCAAGATATAATCTGGACAAATGTACAACAGCTTCACAGCCACAGGGGATTCCGACACCAAGTTGGAAGGGACTTAGGAGACGTGAAGCATCATGCTTAATTCGAGATGATATCATCTTGGCTACTAATTGACGAAAGGTAGAACCAATGGCAATGGGTCTGATATCATTATTAGGTTTTTGAAGTGCAATTAGCCTGGCACCAAAGAGAGGTGAAACGAAATTTGGAACCTCACCGTTTAAAATTTTGTTGCAGAAGTTTGTTAATTTGGGGAGAACGGTTGTTTGTGAGCATGTAGAGGGGGAAGTGATGTCCTGGAGAAAAATGGGGCGTATGCCATCGAGCCCATGAGCGGAATCGCGATGAAAGGAGAGAATGGCTTTCCTCACTTCTTCAGAAGTAAAAAGAGAAGCCCGAGTGAGGTGGAGGAGAAATAGGGATGATGTTGGCTAAGGGGTGTTTTTGACATAACTTTAAATAGGAGGACATGGATGGCTCAGCTAAAGAGTGATGTGTGGACACCAATCTGAGTGCTCCTTTAATATTGAGGTTGTCAATTTTCTTGCAGATCAAATTGGCCTTCAACTCTATTGGTGAGAATCTTCTTTTGTTTAAGACTGACTGTGAGATTTTGTTTTCATGAAGATGGGGGTTCTTCATCGAAGCAGCATCCTTGATTTGCTGAGTGAGGGATTTAGGTGAATTTTTGTCAGGCACTCTGAAAGTATTATATCCAAAATTTAGGAATTTTAGCCATTCTTGCTCATTACTAAAGTTTTGCAAAAGAGAGGATAGGCAGTCAGCAAAAGATTTAGCAACAGACAATCTAGCACCTTTGGGGATCCTTGAAATAATATTTGGTTTGGGATGATCAGAAAAAAATAACTGAGAAGCTGGAATTTGGATTGTGGTGAAGTGGAACAGAATTTTCTGGGGGGATAATCAAAGTATTGGTAAGGGAAAAAGGAACGTGGCCTGAGTGTGAGCATCTGAGTGAAGGAGGACCATGGACTTGTAAGCTTCCATTTTTCCTTATAAGTACTGATTTTTGACGAGAGGGACAGATTTGTGATGATGACATACAGGGGATGGTAAATTAAGTATTCATGTAGTAGAAAAAATTAATTTGACTCATACAATAACTATAGGCCAGCAACAATTTTGAATAATGAGGTTATTATTGATTATTTTGAATAAATTCATTAATAATGATAAGAATTCAGGAGAACTTTTTGGAGTAGTAAAAATTATAAATGCATTGAAAATTATATACATTTTTAAATAAGAAAAATCAAATACTAAATTCTTGAAAGAATAAATTAAAATTGGAAAAATTGAAATATAAATACTTTTTGAGTAATTGGTTATTTTTTAAAATTATGTAGGTATGTGTTGATCTTATATAAATTTAAAGAATTAATCTTAAATTTGAATAGTTAATCTTATATTATAAATTGATGTGTTTGATATAATTTAACTATTCACAAAAAACGTGATATTATATATTTTTCAATTAACTTTTTTTATATATACTATGTTTTTAGACATAATAAGATAATAAAATATTTTAAAAAATAATTAATTTGAATAGCTTATTTCATGGTGCCCCGGTTACGGTGGTACGTTTTTCGTTTTTCTTTCTCTTTAAAAAAATAAAATAAAGTAAAATAATAAAAGTTTAAAAAAAAAATTAAAAAAATATCCTTACCTTGAATTCTTTTGTAAAAATAAAAGGTAAAGGAATTACTTATCAAATTCGTCTTTCGATATTGGAGATGATAAAAGGACAAATAAAATTTTTTTTGACTTTTCTTTTCGATAGTCAAAATTTTATCCAAATTTACAAAATTATAAAAGGTAAAAAAAAAAATAAAATAAAATATATATATATAAATAAAAGAGTAATATGATAAAAAATAGTTTATCATCAAAATCTTTCAATTTCTACGTTAGGATGTTTTGTTTCAAAGCTTTTAACATACCGCACTGCATAATTATTGATAAGATGTTGAGGGAAATGGGAGGATGCAGTAGATTCTCTTATGTCCGAAATAACAGGACGAATGAAATTCACTTTTACTTTAAAACCCTCCGAGAGATGATTAATACTTATATGTCTCTTAATGGAAAGCCTTACGTTTTTGATGAAAATAAATTCATTTTTATATTTTGTGCAATTACGGAATATTATAAATTAAATGTTAAATCTTAAATATCTTTGCAAACATTATACGCTTTATATATTTGACATACTACATTTATAGGGTATAGAAAATTTTCGCTATGTTACATTATTAAATAAAAATTTACGCGATGCTTAACAGACATAAAAAATTTTTTTTATTTTCCTTCATAACTTAAAGTTGTGACGAGTCAAGTCTAGATATTTATAGATAATTCAAATTAAAACTTAGTGGACTATATCCTCTTTACGAATTTGAATTAAAATTTTTATAGATAAACTATTGAAACTTAGTGGACCACATTCTCTTGATTAAAATTAAAATTTTTTTTAGACAACTTAAATTTGATTTTAATGGACTACAATGTTTTGCTTTTACGATTTTAAAAATTGAAAGTTTACTTTACTTAAATAAAATTTTATCATGGACGAAAAATTAACTCTTACACACACTCAATATGTTCCTAAATTTCCCAAGTTATCAGGAAAATTATCTGAGACTTATCTTAACTTAATTGAAACATGCTTTGAGGGACATATCGAGTCAGACTCATCTAAAGTTAGGACACTACTATGTAGCTTACCAATTGAGATTGTAGACCAAGTTACGTCGATATGTTCTAAAGCACAGTTAAAAGACTTTAATATTGTTTTGGTAAATTGAAACTGTTAATTCCAAGTGAGGACATTAATGTAAATATAAAGAACTTTAACTTAGCTGTACAAGGTGCCGAGGAGTCCTTCCATACTTTTTATTTTAGGATTTCAAAACTTCATAAAAGATGCGATTTTGATAACGATACGAGAATGATTGAGAAATTAATAACTTGTTCTTTAAATGATAATATCAGAAGGAAGTTAAATAAACATAAGCACGAAGGCTTAGATAAGATGATGAAATTAAGAGTTGAGTTAGATGGCAGCAATATTAAGCTGGAGATTAGCGATACAAATTATATAGATAAAAACGAAATTATAAAAAATGATTCTAAAACTTTTAATAGTAGGGAGAATCTTAATAATTTTAGGCCAAGTGATATAAATAGCAGAAACTACCAAAACAGTAATTTCCGAAATAACGAGAGTCACTCTAGAAATTTTAGTAATAATCAATTTTCAAACAACTACAATTCAAGCAATTTTGGTAGGAACAACGCTCGGCTAAATTATAACTACAATTCAAACAATCACGGTAAGAACACCACTCGGCAAGATTACAATAACAATTCAAACAATTATGGTAGAGGTACTTGGCAAAACAACAACAATTCAAACTATTACGGAAGAAACTCCATGTGGCACAATAACAATAATGCAAACAATTATGATAAAAACAATGCCTGGCAAAACAACAACAATTCAAACTATTACGGAAGAAACTCCATGTGGCACAATAACAATAATGCAAACAATTATGATAGAAACAATGCCTGGCAAAACAACAACAATTCAAACTAAAACGAAAGAAACTTCAGGTGGCACGATAATTGCAATTCAAACAATTATGATAGAAATAATGCTTGGCATATAATAGAGATGGTGGAAACAATACATGGAAAAACTATAATCTAAGAAAACAAATACAATATCATGATCAGAGCCAAAATAATAGCAACAATTGTAATATGAATATTGAAGAGATTGTGGAAAATAAAAATGATGTTACACAAAATAATAATGATAGTGATTTTAATATCAACAATTTAACCGAGCATAAACTTAATGACAATGCATTTATGACTTCCTTAAAAATAAACGATGTTACCGTTACAATGCAAGTCGACACTGGATCTAAATTCACAATTATACCTCATGATATGGCTAAACAAATAGGTATTAAAGATCTTAAAAAGTCCACTCTACAACTCAGAGCTTATGTTGGAAACTTAATTCAAATTATTGGCGTCACTCAAGTTAAAGTAACCTACGAAGGTATCACCAAACACTTGCAATCCGTGGTCGTTAAATCTAATAAAAATGCGTTATTGGGACGTATGTGGATTAATGCCTTTAGTAATATTTTGAACAAATTTATAGCAAACATTGATACCAACTATGAAGATGAAATAAAGAAATTAATAAAAGATTGCGAATCTAAACTGACTAAAAAACCGATCAACAAAGGGAATGTCAAGATATAACTACGTAATGACGCCAAACCGAAAATCATACCACCTAGACGGTTACCTTATTCAGGATAGGAGATGGAGTCATTGAGCCGGTAACAGATGTCCGATGGGCAAGTCCGATAACCGCTGTCTACAAGGATAATGGGAGCGTTAGGGTTGCGCCGACTTCAAAGACACTGTCAACCCAGCCCTTGAGGACTTCAGATACCCACTTCCAAGACTAAATGATCTTATCGCTAAGTTCAAGGAAGGGAAGAAGTTCACCAAGATAGATTTCAAGGATAGTTCCTACAAATTCCCATCGACGAAACCTGCAGAGACATATTAACTATATTTACACACAGGGGGTACTACCGGTTTACCAGACTTCCTTTTGGGTTAAAGACTTCATCTGCGATTTTTCAACAAATTATGGATCAAATTTTCGGTGACATGAAAGATGTCATATTTTATATTGATGATCTACTAATTACGGGAAGTAGTGACGAAGTTCATTTCAACAACTTAAAGAAGGTTTTTGAAAGAATACTATCTCATGGTTTAGTGCCTAATTTTGCAAAAAGCTTATTTTTCAAAAAAAGTCTAAGGTTCTTAGGACACGACATCGACGCCAAGGGGATCCACGCCAACCATGACAAGATCGAGGCGAATGCCGGAACCAAAATCAGCCGCGGAACTGTCAACGTTTCTAGGTATGGCCGGGTACTACAGAAAATTTTTGAACAACTTCGCTGAAATAGCTGATCCTTTATACAAGATTGTTAACAAAGAAAAATGGGAGTGGAATTTGGAACACTCCAAAAGTTTTGATGATCTAAAGACATTGATTAGTCTTCCTCCAGCTTTGACGTACTTTAATCCTGAACTACCTATCGGAATTGCGACTGATGCATCTAAAAGAGGTTTAGGAGCTGTTTTGTTTCACACTGAAAAAGATGGCAAAGAAAAACCGATAGCTTTTGCATCAAGAACTTTAGCAAAATCCGAAACAAACTATACCAATATTGAGCGTGAAGCTCTGGCCATTATGTTTGCTATCAAGAGATTTCAAGAATACTTGATAGGGACTAAGTTTACTATTGTAACGGATCACAAGCCGCTAATCCATATTTTCACCAAAGGGTTCAAAGATAATAGCACCATCAGGGGCGGACTGGCGACGCTACGGCCTCGTGGGCATTTTTTTATAGCGGCCTCATTTATATGGGGGCTTCGCCCCCTTCCCTTATATGGCTTCTTCGATTTACATGATTTTTATTACTACTTATTTTTGAAAATAAGTTCAAAAGATTTACATTTTTAGTAAAAAAAAGAATAGTATTTATAATTTATTTTTAAAAAATGCACATCTAAAATCATATTCACTACCAATATAAAATAATATTCATTGCACATATATATTTTTTTATATTAGATTTATAACGATATTGCACTATAAAATCAAATCATACATCTGTTAAATATAAAAATACATACTTAATATATCAAATCTATTGATTTTACACATATAATTATTGCAGTTATACAATATTACAGCGTATAAAATTGCTGCACTTATAAAATCAGGCACCGATCATATTGTAAATAGATATTAATAAAATTCAAATAAAAGAATTAAGGAAATATATAATTTTTACGTTAATAAATCTCTCATTAATTTTGAACCTTTACGCAAATATGCAGGAATATCTTCTAGTTCAATCTGCGCCAATGGTTCTCATTCAACTGACATCATTAAAAACGCTTCTAATTTTTCTTGGTCAATATTAGATCTCAGCTTATTTTTGTAATTTTTAATTTACTAAATGTTTTCTCGCAATTAATTTGCGTAAATGACAAAGTTAAAATGTATTCATATGCCAATAAATTAGTGTCACTTGTATGCATATTGCATCTTTTAAAAATTTCATACGCGCATATTCAATGTTACACTTATTATCACACTCTGAGTTATTATGATATTGTAATATTCCTTCTTCTTCATTTGACTCCTCACTTGTTCATACGATCATCTTCCATTTCATTTATTCTGCTACCATATCTTTGAATATACTGGCAAATGAACATTATTTGTTACGTAATTTAACACGCAATATATATATCTTTACTATTTATTTCATCAAGATAGAAATCCTGAAATCATACTTCTCAACCTCATAGGATTTTCCACACATTTTAAGAGGAAATTAAAAATTATTCTATCTGCTGAATATCCTCAGCCAGGGATGCGAACCCGACAAAATTTTTGCCCGGGTTCGGTTCGGGGTATAAAAAAAAGGTGGGTTCGGTTCGGGTTCGGTTCAGGGAAATATTTTTGAACCCGGGTTTGGTTCGGGTTCAAGAATTTTTGAGTTGATAAAAAAAATTCTATATTTAAATTATAATAAAAAACTAGACATAAATTTGATATAAAAAATAAATTTTTTATTTTATTTATAGGCAAATATAGTTAAAAATACAAAGCATATAGTCATGTATCAATTTTAAAAATTTTATTTAGACGTATTAGCATAATATCTTCCAAGAGTTGTTCACTCATCCTCGATCTATATGGTGAATGAATGAATTTCAAATGTGAAAAAGATCTTTCAACGCTAACCTATGTTAAATGTATTTATATGTGAAAATATGATAAATTAACTTGGGTTGCAGGAACAGCAAATAAGATTTTAGATAAAATATATAAATCAGGGTGTTCCAGCTTAGCAGACTCCCAAAAATGCAAAATATTTTCCTTCTTATCTAATCTTTTATAATCGCTAAATCCAGTAATTATTATTCCAATACTTTTCTCAGCAATCGTTGGCCCTCTTTTAAGTATTTTCTCCTGCCTTTCTTTAAGTTGTATCAATTTCTCTAAATCATCTTCTTGTTCAATAACTTCATCGGAACTAATATCATCAGATAAAATCGGCGTTGTTAAGCTTTTAATTCGTCTCCATAAATTGACAAGATGCCTTTTCGCACAAATCTTATCATCATCACTAAGTAATACCTGTAATATTTAAGGATTTATATTGTTTATATTTAAATATTCCATAAAATAACAATTTTAATATAAATCTAAAATAATTAATTTACTAAGCTTTTAATTAACCTTGTATCTTGGGTCCAGGTATATGGCAGCTAAGAGAATTTCGTTCTTTATAAACCTTTCTTCTCTGTTTTTAAGACAAGAATATAGTAATTGAGCAAAATGGTTTGGATTTTTTTCCAGTTCGATGGAGCATCTTAACCATGCTGCATAAAAATCTGTCAGTGTTAACTGTTCAGATTGGAATTGTTTGGTTGCGATTTTTAGCGGTTTTAAAATTTCAACAATCGTTATTATCTCTTTCCAATCTTCAGTCAATAAATAATCAGATTGCTTTGAAAAAAATCTTCGATATTGGGTTTTAGTAAAATCAGCCTTTCTAACATATCATGGGTTGAATGCCATCTGTGGCAATCTAACACAGGCTTAGGGAGTTTCATATTTTTTAATAACTTTTGGTAAGTGGGATGTCTTAATTTTAAATTTAGGCTCCTAGCTTTTGCAATGGTTTCCACAATAGGTGATAATTTTATAGCATCTTGAAGTGCCAGCTGAAGTGTGTGAGCTGCACACCGTACACTATAAATCGGATAGGATATAACAGTTGATAAAAAAGTATTTTGTATATCATCAATATCATATTTATATACATTTACATCCATATTTTCCTCATCTGCTGATTCACTCCTTATATCATAATCAGTTTCAGGTTGCAGGAGCTTTATAGCTCTTAAAAAATTACAACCTTTATCAGAAGTAATTGTGTATATTTGTTCAATATTAATTTTAAATTTTAGTAAAGTTTTTAATATATTCTCTTTTATATATTCTATTGTACATCTCTCTTTCAGCTCTACAATTCCAAGAGTCCTCAAATTTATAATGGACTTTGATATAAATTGAATATTTACACCAAGAATTGACCTATCTAGTCGTTGAACTGTATCAACTTTTAAACTTATTAATTTTCCTTCTACCTCTCTCGATATTTTGTCTCTAATTGATTGGGCTGTTTTATTAATAGTTCTGGATAAATTTTCTTTGTTTATAACTAAATTGAGCCCAGATAGGAGTGGATTTATAATTCTTTGAAATCCCGAATCTTCAATAATTGATAAAGCCATTTACAGTAACAAGTTCTAGTATAGAACTCATCAAATCTTTAGATGATATATTTATACTTATATGCTTTTTTGGAAAAAAGGTTTCTATATTAATTTTAGGTTTTTTTGTCAATAACAATTCCTGATATTTGGTTTTTTCATTTAAATAATTTAAATATTCATTGTTGTGAT